GGGGGGGGGACAGAGGCCGAACACCAGGGCGGGGGGACAGTCACAGCGGGGTCTGCAGTCCATTTGGATCGCTTTTGTTTAGTGAGCCAAGTTGAAGTTCAGTTTTTTTCACAAAGGTTTCCAATTATTCCAGCCTTGTTGTTGAAAATATTGGGAGGCTGCGCGTCCCCCACGAGTGGCCCCGTGGCTCTCACCGCGACTGAGGGTCTGCTACTGAGGGTCTGATACGGTGGCCTGGGAGAAGGCTGTGGCTGGCGGCGGGCACCCTGCCCTCCACGCTGTCTTCATTCCTTTCCCCGTAACTCCTGGGGTTCTGTTTCAGGCTCGGTGCACACCGCTGTTTGCCCCTTTACCCGTGTCTTGAGGGTGTCCCTGTCACCTGGTCGTCCCTCGCCCTCTCCAACCTAAGGCTCTTCCCAGGCCTCTTGGGCGTATCCCCTGGTCTCTGCTTTTGCCAGGCAGATTTTGCTTTCTGCACTTGAGCATTCGTTGTGCTTTGGAGGCTGGACGTCCTGTGTTTGATCCTGGCTGCCAGAGCTGCCCTTGGCATCTGGGCTAGGACCTGGGTCCAAACAAAGGATACTCAATGGAGCTTGGCGGGGGAGGCGGGTGAGGTGGGCACAGCAGGCACGGACCCCGGTGGGGCCGGGAGGGGAACAGGACGGAACTTCCTGGCTGGCCTCCCTCATGGGGAGGCTGATTTTTTTCTTTCTTATTTGAACTTTTCCTGATATTTCTGTAACAACATTAACTTCCTTCTGTAATCAGAGATCAAACTCTGATTAAAATGAAAATGTGTTTTCAAAGGGCTTTTTAGGATTCCTTTATGATACAAACTCCGTATTAATTTGAAACATGACTATGGAATTTTTTTCTGTTTATTTAAACACAGCTTTTGAGTCACAGGCACGGGTGGTGTTCCCGGGAGTGACCGGCTGCTCAGACTCAGACTCACTAGGGCCCTCCCCGGGGCCACCGGGCCACACGCCGGTGGGCTCTGTGTGAGAGCAGGAGGGCGGCACCACGTGTCTCAGCGCTCATGTTCAGAGATGTCATGGCTCTCGCAGATCCAGAAGCACCGCTGAGAGGGTCTTATTGTCATTTCACAAAGTGGAAAGAGCCTTGTCCGCCTCTTTCAGACACTCCCTCCCAGAGGACGCGGGGAAGTATTTTGACAAGGAGACCCGAGTCCTGGAGGCCCCGATGACCATATGGGTGGCTGACCAGGTCTGTGTTGGGCATCTCCCAGGGATGCCGGGAGCACCTGGGGAGCAGGGGCTTTCCTGGGAGGTAGGCTCAGCCCCTGACTGAGGGCCCCGAAAGGCCAGGGCCCTGAAAGGCCAGGGCCCTGGTGTCAGAGCCCAGACTCACATGCTTTCCCACGGGTGTCTAGCAGCCAGCAGGGCAAGGCTTGCCTCCTACGAGGGTGCTTGTGGGCCAGAGAGAGGCCTCGAAGGTCTGTCCCGGCCACCAGCACCCACGTGTGCACACGAGGGGTGCCCCAGACACTCAGGTGCACACATCTACATGCCCACATGTGCCATACACGGAGACACACTCCCCCCTGCCATGCCCAGCTGGTCCTCAGCTGCCACCCACCACAGCGCCTGCCCGCCCACATCAGGGATCGGTCACAGGGAAGCAGGTTTTATCAAGACGGCCTTGTGTCCTGGAAACCGTGGCCTGTGACCACGAGCAGCAGTGGTCATGCTTCGGAGTTCAGGGGGCACCTGGGGAGTCTCTGAGCCGCTGCAAGGGCATCTGTGCCCTTGGTGCCTCAGAGCAAGCCAGTGGAGTTCACCGTGCATGCCATAGTCACCACCTCGGACCTGGAGCTCGACCCCGCGGAGGTGGATTTTGGCTACTGCACCATCTACGAGGCCATCAGGACGGAAATCCGCCTCCACAACCACTCACTCCTGCCCCAGGAGTTTGGCTTCGTCAGGCTTCCCAAGGTACCTCCTGCAGCCAGGCCCGGGGCCAGAGGGACAAGGCTGAGAAGCCCTAGGGACAGGACACAACAGCCGCTGCTCCAAGGTCCCCATGCCTCGGCCGCCCCACCCTGCACCCCAGCCCTGGGCACTGCAGCCCAACCTCAGCCTGTCACCTGCACCCCCGCCCTCGGTCCCTTGCACCTGCTGTGCTCCAGATCCCTGCTCTTCCTTCCAGAACCTTCCCCTGTCACAGTAGGGCAGCCACACAAGGTAGCCAGGACAAGGCCCAAGCCTGGACACCCCTCACCCTTCCCCGGGCCGCCACACTGCTGACACCCCCAACACCATCAACCTCTCTTGCTCCCTGTCTCACACACACGCACACACGCTCACACACATGCACACATTCACGATTGCTCACACACTCATACACAAGCGCTCACACACGTGCACATGCTGACAGTTGCTCACAATCATACACATACACACGTGCACATGCTCACAATCATGCACTCATACGCAAGCGCTCACACATTCACACTTACACGTGCAATGCTCACAATCACGCACTCATACACTCACACATTCACACACGTGAACATGCTCATAATTGCTCACGCACTCACACATACATTCACACATTCTCACACACACATGAACATGCTCACAGTCGTTCATGCACTCACATGTGCTCACACATTCACACACACACATGCGCATGCTCACAATTACGCACATGTGCTCACACAAACACGTGAACATGCTCACAATTTCACTCATACATGTGCTCACACACGTGCACATGTTGACAATTGCTTACACATACATATGTGCTCACATACACATGTACATGCTCACATGCTCACAATTGCTCACAAACACGTGCTCACACACACAAGTGCACATGCTGACAGTCGCTCACATTCATACATATGCACTTGCACATTCACACACACATGTGCACATGCTCACATGCTCACAATTGCTCACGCACACGTGCTCACACATACACACAAGTGCACATGCTGACAATCACACACATGCACTCACACACATGCACATGCTCACAGTCTCGCACTCACACATGCATTCACACATTCACACTTAAACACATGCACATGCTCACAATCACACATGCACTCACACATTCACACATGCACATGCTCACAATTGCTTATTCATTCATACATGCATTCACATTCACACACGTGAACATGCTCACAATCACACATGCACATGCGCTCACACATTCACACACATGCTTACACATGCACATGCTCACAATCACACACTCATACACATGCTGTTATGCATTCACACATACATGTGCACATGCTCACAACTGCTCATGCACTCACATGCGCTGACACAGTCACATGTGCACACACATTCACTCACATTCTCACGTGCACATGCTCACAATTGCTCACACATTCACGCACACACACGCTCACATTCACACACACTTGCACATGCTCACAATCGCTCATGCACTCATACAGTTGCACTCACACTCACGTACTCACATGCTCACACGTGCATATGCTCACAATCATGCATTCATGCACGTGCTCACACATCCACACACACTCATTTGCACACCCCTCACACACTCCTCACATTCACCCACACGTGATCACGCTAATCTCACAGCCCTGCCACACGTGTGTCCACGCGATCTCCCCGTGACACTCCCCTCAGACCACTCTTCCCTTTCCAGTTTGTGGACATCCAGCCCAATGACGGGTTTGGGGCGATCCTGCCCCTGGAAACGCTGCAGTTCGATGTGATCTTCCAGCCCACCAAGGCCAAGGAATACAGCTTCGAGCTCATCTGCAAGTCTGAGATCAACCGGTGAGCCTGCCAGGGAGTGGGGTGCAGTGGGCCCGGAGAGCCTGCTCAGGAGGGACCACGTTTCCCAGCACCACTGCATCCCAGCCTCTAGACCCCACCTGTCTGGCTGACCACAGGGCTGGGCTGGGCAGCACTGCTGGCCAGCAGGAAGCTCAAACCCGGGTGCAGACAGGTAGCTTGCATTCTGGGCCAGCTCAGCCTTGTGTGTGTGTGTGTTTATGTGAGTGTGACAGCATGCATATATGTGTCATGAGTATGCATGTGTATAAGCATGTGTGTGAGAACAGGTGAGTGTGCCTGTGTGTGAGCGTACAAACGTCTGTGTGCATACAGGTGTATCACTAAGAGTAGGTGTGAGTGCATGTGTGTGTGAGCCTGTGGGAGTGTGCATGTGTGTGATTGAATGTGTGAGTGCATGTGAGTGTGGGCATGCATGTGAGCTCACTCATTCACACACAGGCATGAGTGTATGGGTGTGAGCGCCTGTGTGTGAGCGTGTGTGAGTGCATGTGAGCGTGCATGTGTGTGAGTGCTTTCACGTGTGACTCTGAGTGTGAGTGCCTGTGTGTGAGCATGTGTGAGTGTATATGAATGTGCATGAGTGCTTTTACAAGAGACTGTGTGAGTGCTTGTGTGTGAGCCTGTGTGAGTGTGTGTGCGTGAGTGCTTTTACATGAGACTGAGTGCCCATGTGTGAGCGTGAGTGCGCATGAGTGTACGTGTGCAAGGGTACTTTTACATGAGACTGTGAGTGCCCGTGTGTGAGAGTGCACATGAGCATGCATGTGTGTGTGAGTACTTTTATGTGAGACTGTGAGTGCCCGTGTGTGAGCGTGTGTGAGTGCATGTGAGTGTGCGTGCATGCTTTTACGTGAGACTGTGAGTGCGTGTGAGCATGTGTAAGTGCGAGCATGCATGTCAGTGCTTTTAGGCGACTGAGTGCCTGTGTGTGAGCGCATGTGAGCTTACATGCGTGCTTTTACATGAGACTGAGTGCCCGTGTGTGAGCGTGTGTGAGTGCATGTGAGCATGCGTGCGTGCTTTTACGTGAGACTGAGTGCCCATGTGTGTGAGTGCATGTGAGCGTGTGTGAGTGCAAGTGTGCATGTGTGCGTGAGTGCCTTCATGTGAGACTGTGTGTGTGTACATGTGTGCTGTGCAGGGCACCCGTCTGGACACAGGTGGGCTGCTGTGAGCCTTGCGTGCTCTGAGGTGCTGTGTGACCAGCCAGTCTCTGCACCTCCCTGAGCCTGCGAGTGGGATAAGGGGGAGCTGGAGAGCAAGAGGTGAAGCCGGACCCGACGTGGTGGCCGGTGGCTGGTGGTCCTGGGTGGGTTCTTGCTGCTGGGACCATCAGCCTTCAGGGATGTGTTCTGGGGCCAAGGCCGAGACACTTGGGGGTAGTCACAGCTGGGTCTGCGGTCCCTTTGGATCGCTTTTGTTTAAGATGTGAGCCGAGCTGAAGTGAGGTTTCCAATCACTGCAGCCTCGTCACTGGGAAGATTCCGTTCTCCCCTGAGTTCCTTTGTGCCTCTGTCAAACGACCCCCCACCTTTGGGTCCCCCTGGCCTGGGCCATTTGGGCCTCCCTCCATCTCTGTGGGGCCTGGAAATGTATTTATTGCAGAAACCAGGTGCATTTGCTCTGTGGAGTTACCCACAGGCCGGATCTTGCCCCGTGGAGTCAGTTAACATGTTCCTCTGTCCCGTGAAATGCATCCATTGGCAGCGAGACGGCTTCAAAAGCCACGCTGGCTCCTTCCCGGGCGCTTTCACGCCCAGCGTCTCTCCCTTGGTCACCTTCGGCGCTCAGCGGTCCGTACGTTCCATCTGCGATCACAGCCCTGTGACTCCGCCCGCCCCTGCTGCAGCCTCCAGGCCTGTGCCACCCTCTGGACTCTGCGCAGCGCGTGCTGTGTCGTCATGCTCTGGCGTTTCATTGCCTCATGGCGCGGCTTCTGCTTTGCTTCACTGTTTGCACAAATTCCTTATTCTCTCTTGTCCCGTAACAGTGTCACCTGTGATTTGACATTTTTCTACTGCACATTTTCACACGCAATTACTTTTTCTGAACTTTTACAATTTAGTGTAATTTTTTTGAGACAGGGTCTTGCTCTGTCACCGGGCTGGAGTGCAGTGGTGCCGTCGTGGCTCACTGCAGCCTCAGTCTCCTGAGTTCAAGCGATCCTCCCACTGCAGCCTTGAGTATTCCTAGGGCCACAGGAACACGCCTCCCTGCCTGGCTAATTCTTATATTTTTGATAGAGATGGGGGTCTCACTGTGTTGCCCAAGCTGGTCTTGAACTCACAGCCTCAAGCAATCCTCCCGCTTCAGCCTCCCATCGTGCTAGGATGACAGGCATGAACCACGGTGCTCAGCTCTCCTCTGCACACTCAGAAAGGAGCCCAGTTTAGAGCGTTTTTCTAGCTCATTGGCTCCAGAGCCCCCTCTGCAGTTCCTGTGTGTGCGTGAAGTGCCGATAAAAAAAATAGGGTCCCAACTTTCTTAGCTTTGCGTCCTCTGCTCTCTTCCTCCCCTCCATTTTCAGATAATCCACAAACTCAGAAAGCCAACATCATGTACCCTCCACCCAAAATACATACCTTAGACTTCTCTCACACTTGCCTGCGATGTCTTTGTTACAGAAACGTTCTCCCTCAGGTCGGAGCTGGGCTTCTTCTCCCTCCCTCCCCAGAGTCCATCACTGTCAGGAATGCCAGGGGCCGCACGACGTATCTGTGTACCTGTAATCTAGCACACACACACGTGTGCAAGTGTACATGCTTCTGCACTTGCACAGATGTAGGGTGACCACCATGCGGTGTGCCTAGCACCGAGGGGCTTCCCAGGCCGGAGGACTTTGAGTGCCTTGACTAGCAGAGCCCCACGCAGACGGGGACCCCACGTCAGTGGCATCGGACCCACGTAGGTGGCCTCAGACCCCAGCTGCTGGTCTGGATTTTGCTTGTTTCCCCTCAGCCTGGGTGCTTCTGTGACTGACCCTTGTGGCCACCACCGTGGGTTCCATGTAGGACCCATAGGTTTGAGGCCTGTGGCCGTCAGAGCAGCACCTCACTCTAGCTCTAAATGCAGATATTAGAAAAGAGGGTTGGAAAATCAACCAGCTGAGCCTCCTTTTCAAGAATTAGGAAAAGAACACAGGAAATTAAACCCAAAGAAAGTAGAAGGGAAGACATAATAAAGGTGAGAAGTCAGTGAAATGGAGACAGCAGAGAAAAACAACAAACTAGAAGTCCTCCTTGTACAATTTATACGATCCATTACCCCAGCAAGGCCAGTCAGGGTAAAAAGAGAGAAACCACAAACCATCAATATCGGGAGCGAAAGGGAACATCACTGCAGGTCCTAGAAATATCAAAACGATAAGAAGAGAACGTGACCAGCAGCATCACACCAGGGGACCTGACAGTTCAAGGAAATGGACAAATTCCTGAAATACATAATGGACACAAGAAAAATACAGAAAAATCTGAGTACTCAGGCCGGGCGCGGTGGCTCACGCCTGCAATCCCAGCACTGTGGGAGGCCAAGGCTGGTGGGTCACCTGAGGTCAGGAGTTTGAGACCAGCCTGGCCAACATGGCGAAACCCCGTCTCTACTAAAAATGCAAAAATTGGCTGGGCATCATGGCACACACCTGCAATCCCAGCTATTCGGGAGGCTGAGGCAGGAGCATTGCTTGAACCCAGGAGGCAAAGTTTGCAGTGAGCCAAGATTGCGTCACTGCACTCCTGCCTGGGCACCAGAGCCAGACACCACCAAAAAAAAAAAAAAAAGAAAAGAGAAAAATCTGAATATTCAAACTATTCAGGAAATAGAATCTAAAATCTAAAACCTTCCCACAAAAAAAATTGCTGGTTTCACCAGTGAGTTATTCCAAACATTTAAAGAAAAAAATAATGGTGCTCTGACACAAATCTTCCACAGGGTCCAGGCACAGCGGCTCACGCCTGTAATCCCAGCACTTGGGGAGGCCAAGGTGGGTGGCTCACCTGAGGTCAAGAGTTCAAGACCATCCTGGCCAACATGGCAAAAACCCATCTCTACTAAAAATACAAAAAAAAAAAGCCAGACATGGTGGAGGGCACCTGTAGTCCCAGCTACTTGGGAGGCTGAGGCAGGAGAATTGCTTGAACCTGGAGGCAGAGGTTGCAGTGAGCTAAGATCGAGCCACTGCTCTCCAGGCTGGGCAACAGAGATTCTGTCTCAAAAAAAAAAAAAAAAAAATTGAGTACTGATAATAACCAACAGTATCTCCACTCAAAAATAATTTTAGTGAGCAATGGGCACCGTAGCTCACACCCGTAATCCCAGCACTTTGAGAGGCTGAAGCGGGAGGATCACTTGAATCCAGGAATTTGAGGCCCACCTGGGCAACACCCCACCAACTACATTTTTTTATTTTTATTTTTATTTTTTTTAAAGACAGGGTTTCACCATGTTGGTCAGGCTGGTTTTGAACTCCTGAACTCAGGTGATCCGCCCGCCTTGGCCTCCAAAGTGCTTGGATTACAGGCGTGAGCCACCGCGCCCAGCCTTTTTAAGAATTTTTTTAAGCATTTAGAGCCTGTGGTCACAGAACATAAAAACATACGTTTGAATATTACAACAAATGAATGTTACAGACAAATATGATAGTATTATCCTTTTCAGCATAAAATATAAAATAAGCATTGAAGGAAAATGTGAAATTTCTAATAGTTCAAATACCCAGGTACCTGGTCTTTTTTTAATGGATGTGGTAGGGATCAACCAGGGACGCCTGTGCTCACATTTAGAGATATCCTTTCTTAAATGTCAATAAATATTTAACAAAATAAGCTAGAGGCTGGGCACAGTGGCTCACGCCTGTAATGCCAGCACTTTGGGAGGCCGAGGCAGATGGAACACAAGGTCAGGAGTTTGAGACCAGCCTGGCCAATACGGTAAAACCTCATCTCCACTAAAAATACAAAAATTAGCTGGGCATGGTGGTGTGTGCCTGTAATCCCAGCTACTCAGGAGGCTGAGGCAGGAGAATTGCCTGAACCTGGGAGGCGGAGGTTGCAGTGAGCCGAGATCGCGCCACTGCACTCCAGCCTGGGCGACAGAGGGAGACTCCGTCTCAAAAAAAAAAAAAAAGTAGAAATTTCTTTTTCAACTTCCTTTGCAACTATCTAAACTTGTGACTAATTTTTAGCTACCCAGGACACAGTGGAACGCATCTGTAGTCCCAGCTACTCGGGAGGCTGAGGCAGGAGGACCCCTTGAGCCCAGGAGTTGGAGGCTGCAGTGAACTGTGATGGCACCACTGCACTCCAGCCGGGGCAACAGAGCGAGACCCCATCTCTCTTTATAAATGAATAAATACGTTTAAAAAATTTTAGCTACCCACCTGAAATGTGCACAGGGACGTGCTGTATTTTCAAGATGTGTTAACAGGGCAGTGACCCCACGGGCAGTGGGAACGTGCCTGTCCCTGTGAGCCTCACTCAGGGCCTGTCCTCCACCCAGCAGCCCCTGCTGCTGCTGCAGAGGGACCCGCCCCCCTGCCCCCCACACGAGGCTGAGGGCTTCCCTCACGGGTGTTTGCAGGTGCTTCAAGCTGTCTTGCCGGGCTGTGGGCGTCCACCCGCCCCTGGAGCTGTCCCACTACCAGATCAAGTTTGCGGCCACGGCCCTGTATGACACCTCGGTGGCCAAGCTGTACGTCATCAACTCCCACCTGAGCATGAGCTCACTGACCCACTCCAAGCCCCGCATTGGCTCAGAGGACGCCTCTCCTGTGGGGCCCACGTCTTTCGAGTTCCTGCTGCCCCCAGACTCGCCTATCACCATCTCACCCTCGGTGGGGACCGTGTGGCCAGGAAAGGTGGGTGTGGGCCCCACACGCAGGCTGGGAGCCAGGGGCTCCACAAAACCTGCGTTTGCCCCCAGGGTGTCTGGCTCTGCCCACCCTTAACCACGGGGTTCCAACCTGGCGAGCAGCGGTGGGAGTTCTGACCCTCATCAGACCCAAGCAAGGCCCACGGAGCCTCCATGGCCTCCGTGGATGTGGTCCGGGCCACCCACATGGGAGGAGGCCACAGTGCCCTTGGCCAGCCTGACCCCAAGAGGCAGGAGCTCCCCAGGCTGCTGGCCTGGCTGGCACCCATGCAGGGCTCCCAGGTTGAGACTGGGGAGGGCCGTGCAGCCCCTTGGACCAGGGGACCTCGCAGGCAGACGAGGAGCAGAGGGGTCAGCACTCCCAGCCAGCACACCACCTTCCTGCAGAGCACAAAGCCCTGGGCCTGGCAGGGCCTTTGGGTGACCCTGAGGGCTGCCAGGGGCCTAGTGAGGAAGGGCATGTGGCTCTCACCCCATATGCAGCTCTCCCTCCCCCCAACCCCTTCCCCTTCCCACTGTTCTCCCCCCACTCTCCCCCTCCCCCATCCTCTTCCCTCCCTCCCTTCCTCTCCCCCCAACACCGTGTCACCCCCTACCCCCCATTGCACACCGTCTGTGGGCTCTGTCATGGCGGGACCCTTCCGTGGGGAGCCATTTCCAAAACGGAGGCACGCTGGAAAGGCTGGTGTGCACAGGGGCCAAGTTAGAGTGCGGGACTCACCCCGAAACTCAGTGAGGAAAAGGCGGGCTCAGCTGTCACTGCCGCCCCATGGGACCCCCGCCCTGCATGGCCAGAAGGCTTGGCGCTCAGGCCTGCGGCCCACCCACCTTCTTGGGGGACAGAGGTCAGGGAAGGCCTTCCCAAAGGCAAGTAGCCTGAAATCTCAAGGAGGCGGTGACCTTGCGGGGATCCCCGGGCTGAGGAAGGCATCGTGCCAGCAGGGGCTCCCGGGGTGGAGGGAGGTGGCAGCCCGGTCCCACGCTTGTCTCTCTTCAGAGGTGCCTGGTCCAGGTGGCCTTCCGGCCCGTGCTGCCCGAGAAGCTGATCTGCCAGGAAGCTCTCCCACTCCTGAACAAAGAAATGGAGCCCAAATTCGTGCGTGCGGCCTGGGAGAGGAGGGATGTGGGTGGGGGAAGGGAAGGCCTTGTGGGCAGCATGGGGGGGACTTTGCTGCCTGTTGCAGGAGCAAACGCCACTGTCCCCGAGTCCCTGAGGGCCCAGGCTGCGCGCCAGGTGTGCAGGGGAGACTTTTTCCAAGCGCTGTGTGTGTCAGGCTGTATCCGAGAGGTTAAAAAGCTTGTTCACCAAGACCTTTGCTCCTCTCTGGAAGCCACCACCAGGCGGGAGCAGGAAAGGGGGGGCTCAGGAGGTGGGGTCACCCAGGGGTGCGGCGGATGCAATGCAGGCCCCTCCCACCACCTGGAGCCCCGGGAGGCGCACCCGAAATGCTGCTGCAGCGGAGTGTTCTGCAGGGTCCACCCCACAGCGCCGCCAGCCACGTGAGGGGCAGCACTCCCTTGGCCTTCTGCGGTGAAGACAAGGAAAGGCACCAGGGCAGGGACCCCGACTCTGGCCGCCTCTTCACTCCCTTGTGCCTCGGTTTATCCTCTGGCGAAGGCGGGCGCTGCCGTCTGTGAGCCCCTCTGTCGGGGTCTGTGTGCTGCTCCCCATGCGCCCCTCCGCACAGGCTACTGTCTTCCTGGGCACCCGCTCAGTTTTTGGGTCCCCGTTCAATCCAAACCGGGGCTCCCACGGTTCCTGCACAGGCCGTGGAGGAGCCACAGGGCACAGCTGGGGTGCCTTCGGGGCCCTGCACAGCCCCACAGCCAGCCGCTCCCCCACAGTTCCGAAAGGACCCGGCTGCCCAGAGGAAGGGCCTGCAGAGACTGTCATTCTCCCTTCTGCGAGTGCAGAATCGCGACAAGCTATTCAGAGTCTCTGTCCCCCACGTCCTGGAGCTGCAGAAGCGGGAGCTGAAGCCCAGGTGTGTCCAGGAGGGGCTGCCCATCTCCTTCCCTCCAGGCCCCTCTGGTGGGACCCACTGCGGCCCCTGTGGACGGTTCCCCCTCAGGCTGCCCGGAATGACCCATGTGGCTGGAAAGACTGACGGCTTCAGACACAGCCGGATCCAGGCACTGCCCTCCTGGGATCTGCCCACCCCATGCCCCCAGGCCTGGCACCTATGCACACTGCCTCACTCCACGGGTGGGGAGCAAAGCCAGTGCCCCCCACTCAGCCTCCCTGGGTGCAGAATGAGCCCTGGGAAAGCTCTGGTGGGTGCCCGTGGCCCCAGGAGGGAACATGGCTCTCTAGCCATGGGCCAAAGGACCTGCCCCAAACCCCAGTCCCCAAGCACCTGGCTGACAAGGACCTGGAGTGGGTGACAAGTCCCCCACAGGAGCCAGAGAAGGGTGGAAAAGCCAGCCTGTCAGACACAGCCTGGGAGGCTGAGGCAGAGCCTCAGGGGTCGGGCCAGGGCAGGAGTGCACATCGCTGGCTTCCTTCCAGTTCCGACGAGTACCAGGCCGCCCGAGCCACCCTGGCCAGAGCGTTCCAGGCAAAGTTTGACACACTTGTGGTTCCTTGTGTTGTTGCCAGTGGCTACATCAACGACAAGGGGTCGGAGCCCCTGAGCTTCAGGTGCGGGGTGCTCTGCCCGGAGCGGGGTGTGGTTGGCCACAAACGTGCTACTGCAGCCGCTCTCTGCTACGGCCCAACTCTGGGGCCTGGGCAGGCAGGGGGCCGACCACCCTGCCCTCAGCCTGCCCTTCCCGCCCCCAGCCCCCACAACACCCTCTACCTGGAGCTGTGGTGCCCCAGCGTGGCACCGTCTGTCGTGGTGACGTCCCATAAAGGCAAAACCATCTTTAACTTCGGCGATGTCGCCGTGGGTGAGTTGCTTGGCCCCACGCACACCTCCACCCCAGGGCCAGACACGCCCATGCCTTCCTCGGCCCCATGCCCTGCCCCTGGACCCGGGTGCTCCCGGGCGCCTGGGGCTGCACCATGATGTTCCCCGCCCCATTTCAGGGCACCGCAGCGTCCAGAAGGTCTCCATCCAGAACGTCTCACCCGAGGACCTGGCTGTGTCCTTGTCAACCTGGCCTGGGCAGCCTGCGGGGTGGGAGTGGGGGCTGGGGAGGGCGTGGCAGAGCCCGAAGGCACCCGTATCCCTTCCTTGACGCGGACCCTCAGCTGGACTTCTCACTGCTGAACCCCAACGGCCCCTTCGTCCTGCTGAACCCCTCCAGCCGGCTGCGCGCGGGCGAGACCCAGGTCCTGGTGCTGTCCTTCTCTCCCCACGAGAGCATCCTGGTGAGTCCCAGGCCCACCCCAGCCACACTGCGGCCCATGGCTCCCCACGCTGCAGGACAAAGGCCCTGGCCAGGGCGCGCCCCCTGTGCTCAGGCCCGGGACTGACCAAGCCTTGGTCTGCAAGCAGCCTGGCCCCCAGGGCCCGGCGAGAGCCAGCGAGTGAGCGGAACTGATGGAGCCTCCGCTCGGCCCCACGCTCGCAGCCCCGGCACCGAGAACCCACTGCCCCTGAGGCAGAGCTCCCCTCGTGCCTCTAGCAGACGTCTGCCCCTGGCTCAGGGGGGTGGTCTCTTTAGGCTCAAGAAACACTGGACATCATCACCAAGAGAGGCACGCTCACCCTCACCCTCCTGGGCACTGGGGTGGCGTCCATGGTCACGTGCTCCATCGAAGGCGACGTCCTCAACATGGGCTATGTGATTGCCAGAGAGTCTGTGTCCTCCAGCTTCAAGGTGAGGCACATGAGGGCCCTGGTGCCGCCTCCGGCCTCCCAGTAGGGGATTCCACCAGGCAGGTCTCAGGCCACCAGTCAGAGTGACCAGTGGGTCGAGGAGCCCGTAGGGACACCGGCTGCCCCCTCTGCCGCCCTCTCATGAGAGAACACGGCCCTGTTTCTGGGAAGGCTGCAGATGTCCCTTCGTCGCCCCCACCTCCCTGTCCTCCTTGGTGCTCCTTGTCCCTCCTCCTCGGCCCCTGCACAGAGCCTCCCACCACCCCCTGCCCTGCTTCTTGAACTCTCAGTCCTTTGGAGATCAACTCCAAAGGCCACCCAGGGGCGCGGGTTTGCCGACCTCTGCAGCACGCCACACTGCCCCGTGGGCTTTCATTCCTTCGTCCCATCCGAGGGACGCCCGCTTCTCTGCCTGGCTCAGGAGGGTCCTGGAGGCACAGCCCAACACGGGGGTTGCATGGAGGAAGGGTATTCTCAGGAGAGGGGGTGAGGGCAGGGAGGACAGCGGCGGGGACTCGGGTTCAATTAAGCCGGAATCTCACCCAAGCAAGCTTCGGGTGCACTGGAGGGCACGTGGCACCGCAGAGCCGCCCACGCACCCCGGGCACCGCAGAGCCGTGCATGCGCCCCGGGCAGGGAAGCCGGGTCCTGTCCTGCTGAAGGCTGATGACAGGCTGGACTGGACGACTGGCCATTGGCACACAGCTCAGTAACCGCCATGTGTGCCGGCGTCGTCGGCCGCCTGGGTCCCCACGTGGGTGGGCAGCGGCCAAGTCCTAGGCACTGTCCACAGGAAGGGGGAGCGGCCCTGCTGCTGGGCCAGACTGGAGGGCGGTGACCACAGCCTGCACTCTGCAGCTACAGAACAACTCCGTGCTCCCCGTCACCTTCTCCATGCACCTGGACAGCCTCTCCAGGACCCGGGCCGAGGACCAGCAGCAGCTGCCACAGTTCCTCAGCTCTTCCTCCCAGAGGACAGAAGTGGTCGGTGAGCTGGGGGCGGGGAGGAGATATTGGGTCTATGGGAGGAGGAGGGGGCGCAGGGCTGTTGGGGGCACCGGGCAGGATGGGGCACTGCGGGGACGGGCAGGGCGCAGAGCTCTGTGGAGCAGGGCTTGGGGACAGACGGCGACCACAGGTGGGAAAGGCCGAACTGCACCCCCCACCCACAGGGACGCAGAACCTCAGTGGCCAGAGCGTGTTCAGTGTGGTCCCAGTCAAGGGCGTCATGGACCCCGGGAAGACACAGGACTTCACTGTCACCTTCAGCCCGGACCACGAGAGCCTCTACTTCTCCGACCGGCTCCAGGTCTTGCTCTTTGAAAAGGTGCGGCTCTGGCTGGGAGCCCGGCCCCTGCCCCACCCAGGGCCTGACCTCTCCCTGCACTGCCCACTGTGGAGGCCCGAGGGCACCATGCCTGGGGGACCCAGCGCCACGTTGAAGGTCGTCGGTGGTCCCCAGCCCATCCCTGCCTCCTTCCCCTGAGCCAGCCCAGCTCTTACCAGCAGGGCCCCTGCCTCGGACCTTTGGGGACAAGGCCACTGCACTTCTCGTCCCCAGAAAATCTCCCACCAGATCCTGCTGAAGGGTGCTGCCCGTGAGCACATGATGTTCGTGGAGGGCGGAGACCCCCTGGATGTGCCTGTGGAGTCTCTGACGGCAATCCCCATATTTGAACCCAAGCACAGAGAGGGTGAGTGCCTCCCCAGGGAGGGAACAGACGGAGGGCCTCCCAGGGCCCCTCACCTGTAGATGGGGGAGCAGGGCAGGGATTCCAGCCTTCTAGCCCAGAGCCAGGCAGGACAGCCCCTGCTAACCAGAGTCCAGGAGTCCAGCTGCAGCCTCCCCCAGGCCTCAGCCTGACCCTGAAGCACTCCCCTGGCCACACCCCTCCAGCCAGCTCCCGGCCAGGCCCTCCCTCTCCAGAAGCCGAGGAGCTGAGGCCCATCCTGGTGACTCTGGACTACATGCAGTTGGACCCGGACACGCCGGCCCCCCCCGCCACCCGAGAGCTGCAGGTGGGCTGTATCCGGACCAGCCAGCTGTCTCCGAAGAAGGTGACCACAGCACTGCCCCTGGGGACACCAGGCGGCCTCCTTGGCCTCCCCTGCCCTGGGTAGCCCTGACCCTCCTGGCCCTGCCACAGGAAGGGGGCACTGACCACAGGAAGCTGACAAGCTCACGGGGCTTGTCCCCACAGCCGGCTTGTCCGGGGCTTCCTGTGGCAGCTGTGGGGTGGGCAGCCTGCTGCTGGGAGCTAGGAGGGAGCGTAGAGCTGGGCGCCCTTGCTGCTCCTCTCACTGCTGCTGGTAGCCGTGCTGCTCGCCAGCCTACAGGAGCCCATGCCCCACAGACCGTGGAGTTCAGCCTGGACAGCGCCGCGTCCCTGCAGCACAAGGGCTTCTCCATTGAGCCTTCCAGGGGCTCCGTGGAGCGTGGCCAGACCAAGACCATCAGCATCTCCTGGGTGCCACCTGCGGACTTTGACGTAGGTGCCTTCGGGCTGCAGGCCAGGGAGCCCTGGGAACACCTGAGGCTGGGTGGGCTGACACCCTCCCAGGGGAAGAGGTGGCTGTGGAGGGCCCCGGGGGAGTGAGGTGGGCCAGGCAGCGGGAAGACAGATGTCCCCTGGGTGCCCATGGCTGAGGGCCCCTTCTCTCTGCCCCTCCTGTTCCAGCCCGACCACCCACTTATGGTGTCAGCCCTGCTGCAGCTAAGGGGGGATGTGAAGGAGACCTACAAGGTCATCTTTGTAGCCCAGGTGGTGACCTAAGCCTCTGCACGGAGCACCCTCGGGCCCCCCGCGCACCCTCAAAGCCCTCCCCAGCTGAGGGCCAGGCCATATGAGCCTAGACCTGGACATCCCCTGCCAGGCACATTCCCATGGGCTGCCCTCCACCTGGCACTGCCACGGCCACTTCCTGCTGCCCTGGACCCAGCAAGCCCAGGGACATCCAAGAGCACCCCCTCCCGAGACCCCGCACTCAGAGCCAGCTTTAAGGCCAGGCCAGCCCATAGCCATCCTGGCCAGAGCCCCTCAGAGCCCCCTGCCCCCAAGGAGACCCCACCCCACAGCCTGTCAATAAACTTTCTGTAGGTCACAGGTGCAGGCTGCGTGTGGGTGCTGGTGGGTTATTCCCTGGGGTGAGTGCAGAATGGGAGGTGGGGACAGAGCCCTGGGGAAGCAGCCCCTCCCCTCACAGCCATGAAACCCGCTCTGCCTGGCTAGGGCCTCTTGGAGCAGGGCCATCCTGCAGGACGTCTGTGGGAAGGCCACCCTGGCCCAAATTCAAGGAGAGCCCCCAAGCCTGGCACCCCGAGCAGCAGCAGGCAGCCCAGGGGACTGGGGTGCAGCCAGAGCTGAGACTGGCTCAGAGCCAAGAGGCCCTGGGTGGTGGGGAGGGCAGGCCCGGGAACCTCCAGACTCTTCCCAAGTTCCAGGACCCCGGATGATGACCCCAAGCAAGGCTGAGCAGATGGTGGGGACCCAGCCCAGCTGTGCCCTGCCCGCAGCCCAGCCGTGCCCTGCCCGCAGCCCAGCAGGGGTCAGGTGAGGCCCAGCTCCTGCCTTTACGTTCCCACTTGTCTTAAGTGTGGGTTCAGCTTTCTGGGCTCTGACCCACCCTTCAACAGAGAAGACCCCTCCCAGCCCGGAAGATGCTCCTGCAGCTCAGAGTGGCACTTGCACCCCACCCCTGCCTCTGGAGCATGGCTTGTTGGATACCGACCCCAGAGAGCCCGCCCAGCCTGGCCCTCCTGTCACAGTGCAGCACGCACACGTTGCCACCCAACTGGCAGCCACCAGGAGAGCGTACGAAGCCTTCCCTGGACTGGCAGGGAGAGCAGGTGGTGCTTCTGGGAGTTTTACTGGACACAGTCCTCAGGGACGCCAGTCTCGAGCCGCCCGCCCTCACCCCAGCCCCCCAGGGCCCATGGTGCCTAGGAACCTACCACTGCCCCAAACTTCGAGCCAGCGACATCAACCCTGCAGTGGCATTTTGCAGGATTTCTGTCCAATGGGTCCTTTGCTGCCCTTCCTGGGGCTGGCCCGCCATGGCTCAAGCTTGGGCCACACCAGATGGGAGGGGAAGGCCGGCTCCGCCAGGTCCAGGCCAGGCCCAGGCCTCAGGAGGAAGTGCTCCCTGGGGGGTACTGTTTCCTGGGCAGGGCCCTCTCTTCTAAACCCTGAGCCGACTCTCCTGCCAGGCCCCTGGTACTGAGTGACGAGGTTCTGCGTGGGGGACCTGTGTGGGGGTCCTTCATGGGAGCCAAGTATTCACCTTCCAGAACTCTGGGCTGTGGCCTCAGGCTGCGCCTGTGCACATGCTCTCCCCCGGCCCCTCCCGTGCTGGGCCTCCACAACCAACAGGAAGAATGGCCAGGGGCCACCCTCAGCCAGGCTCGCGGGAGCTGGGCTGTAGGGCTGATGGCCCACAGGGTCGTGGGGTGAGCCTTATGCTGTGCTGAGGCGCAGGATCCGAGAAATAAAGAGGCAGGACACAGAAGTACAAGGAAAACGCAGCTGGGCTCGGGGGGCCACGTCACCTATAAGCAGAGTCAGGCGAGGCCCCAAATGTCCAGAAGCGTGAGTATTTATTGTGTATAGGTTAGGGGGCAGGGCAGTGAGTGAAATAATCTTTAAGGATAGTGATAGGGTCATGAGCAATAAAACATGGGATACACCCCCATTAGGTCACCTAGGCCAGGAGGTGGACAGTGCACAGCAAGGGCCCGTTCCCATGAAGGCAAGGGCTGTGTGCAGTAAGGGGTCCACCCCCCATTAGGTCACCGAGGCATGGAGGTGGGCCGTGCGCAGTGAAGAGGGTGCTGTGTGCAATACTTCTATCTATGGGAAAACTACTTCTAAGAAGATTTATAGGAGGATGCTTTAAGTCACACAGCAGTGACAGAGCTGTCAGGGTTACCGCCACCTCCTGGCAGCTTCCAATGGGTTCTGTGGGAAGATGCTTTTCAAGCAGCACAGTAGCAAGAGCTGATGAAGTTCACAGTCACCAAGGTGGATTGCCGGTCCGAGGGCACCTTCCACAAGAACTGGAGCAAGGTCCTACAACTCCTTTATCAGGAGGAGTGGCTCTCACCCCCAGCCTGCCATACAGCGGGTATCTTTACGATACTGAACGCTGCCGCCTGGGCCATGGATCCTTGTCCTGGTATAACTGTTTTCCTTTAATTCATGCTCTGCACTGTGTCTGCTCCAGGCATTCCTCCGATTATAAGCTGCTTGTTCCTTAATTCATGCTCTGTGCTGTGTCCACTCTAGGCATTACGCTGATTATGAACTAAGATACAATTATAGGTAAATATGTAGGGAAATATTCTTTAGGCACTCATACTATCAACTATTATATGATTTTATATAGAGGATTATATAAAGGGATTCTTCAAGCCTTTTTTTTTTTTTTTTTTTTTTTTTTTTTTTTTTTTTTTTTTTTTTTTTTTTTTTTTTTTTAAGATGGGGTTTCACCATGTTGGTCAGGCTGGTTTTGAACTCCCAACCTCAGGTGATCCACCTGCCTTGGCCTCCAAAGTGCTTGGATTACAGGCATGAGCCACCACACCTGGCCCCCAATCCCTAATTCTATAAACTAAATATGATTATATAAAGGATTACAGGTATCGATCGACTAATGACCTATGCAACTTACGACCATTCGACTTTATGACCACAATCGCTAGCCACGACTGCGCCGCGTCTGGCAGCGCAAACGTTGCCCAGCTGGGCGTATGACAGTGCGGACCAGCTTCCGGCAGCACTACCATCTCCGCGTGCATATAGCCTACTAACTTATGACCAAATCGTGTTACTACCGGTCTGTCGGAACCAACCGTGGTCTTAAGTCGAGCACTAGCTGTATATAAAAGGAAATTGCCGAGTCGTAACACTATTTTATAGAGATATTCCTCAAGCCCTAACTGTGCCAGGGTTCTGCTTAGCTCTCATTCCTCGGTGCCTATATGGGAGGTTACCACACTGGGCAGGCAGGAAGGGCCCTTGAGGGCCGTGGCACAGGCCCTGGGAGGTGCAAGGCAGCTTCGGGCAGAGCCTAGCAGTGGCGGGAGTGAGGCGGTGAAGGGCAGGTGTGGGCAGAAGATCCACTCAGAGGAGGCCCTGCCCTCCAGGGTCACTGCCCTTGTCGGCGTGGGGACACTGAGCAGCACCCACACATGGAACATGTTCTGATTAAGGGGTGGGTGCTCCTCCTGCAGCAAGATGGACCCTGCCCCTTGCTGTGCTGACCATCTCACTTCACCTGACTACCAGACAGACAGTGTGCTGCTGGTCCCATGGGGAGCAGAGGGCAGCAAGAGCCTAACAGGGGCCCTGGCCTGGCAGCAGAGGGATAAAGGGTCAGGGGTCCCCTGAAAGAAATGGCCCCTGGCACAGTGAGCAGCAGGCATTGCAGGCTGAGGGAATGGGAATGGAAGCCGCATTCCCAGGTGGGGCATGATCCCCAAGGCCAAGGGCTATGGGAAAGTGGTCTGCACCCAAGCCTGAACGGCCCAGAGCCAGGGCCAGGCTCCCGCCTCGAGGGCCAGCCCCCAGGCAGTGCCTGCCGCGCAGGTGCACAGTGTCCAATCACCGCGTTCGGGACGCCCAGCGTCCTGGTGGTGAGACCCTCCAGTTCACCTGGAGCCTGCCTGCGAGACTGGACCCCAGAAACCACACCCAAGGGAGCCACGACTTTCTGGGCCAACTCCTGAGGGTCCCCGGGCCACGCCCAGGCCAGCGGCAAAGCAGGACGGGCCCGGCCGGGGTGGGGGCGCCTGCCCGGGCTCAGGGCGAACCCCGCCCACTATCGCCTCGCGGGTGGAGCTGCGAGTTCGGCTTGCGATGGGCCACGGGCGCGCCCTCGGAACACGTTGGGCGTGGTCCAGTGGGAGGGGCTTGCGTTGGGCGGGGCGTGGTGGGCGGGGCTTACGTTGGGCGCGGGGGCAGTGGGCGGGGTTTGCATTGAGAGGAGGCCCAGCGACTGGGGGAGTCTTGCGGGCGACGCCTCCTGTGGGCGGGGCCTGTGGCGAAGGAGCTCGCACAGAGCGAGGTCTGGCGGGCGGGGTTTACGCTGCGTGGGGCGTCCTGTAAGCCTGCGGCGTCCTGTCAGCGGGGGGCGTCCTGCAGGCGTGTGCCCCTGTGGGAAGGGCCGGTAGCGAGCGGGGCCCGGTGGGCGGGATTTACGCTGCGTGGGGCGTCCAACAGGCCTGTACTCCTGTGGGCGGGGCTTACGTTCGTGGGGCGTGCTCTCCTGTGGGCGGGGCCTGCGGCGAGTCAGGCCGGGTCGCTGGGACTTACGCTGAGGGGGCGTTCTGTGGGCGTGTCCTGCGGTGGGCGTGTCCTGCGGTGGGTGTGTCCTGCGGTGGGTGTGTCCTGCGGTGGGTGTGACCTGTGGTGGGCGGGACCCCATAAAGCCTCGCCGCCGGGCGCTGCTCCAACCTCCGCAGAGCATGGCTGTAGGGCCGCTGGCTGCCCACGGGCTCCAGCTGCTGCTGCTCCTACCGCTGCCGCAGGTGGGTCGGGCCGCGCCATCTCTCGGTTCGGCCACCGTGGGGCGGGTCCGTGCTCGGACCACGCCCCTCCCGGGCTCACACCTGTCCCCGCAGGTGGCGCTGGGCTTCGCGGACGGCAGCTGCGACCCCTCAGGCCAGTAAGTCGGGGCGGGAGGGAGCCGGGGCCTGGCCCCACCCTTGGGGAGGCGCGGGCGGCGTGGTCAGCGGGCGCGTGCCCCGCCTGCTCCAGGTGCCGCCGTCCCCGCAGGTGCCCGCCCCAGGCCCGCTGGAGCAGCCTGTGGCACGTGGGGTAAGTGGAGGCCGCGGCTGAGCCGTGCGTCCGACGGTTCTGGGGCGGGGGTCACCGAGGCCACGCCCGCCAGGCCCTAACCTCAACAGGCTGCCTCCCTCCTGGCGGGAACTGGCCTCGAGCAAGCAGTACTTACCTCCCACTCCTCCCGCCTGGCCTCCACGGGAAGCCCCCACGATCCCGGTCAGCAGTGGGGCAGCCGCTGAGGGCAGCACGTCCTGGGAGTGAGCCCAAGGCTCCTTGGCCAGCCTGGGACAGACAGCCAGGGCAGGCCCAGCAGCCA